TGGTATCGGGATCCAAATAATCACATTTTCAAAACAATATATTAAATAAATAAATATATTCAAGATAATAGTATTTCTATTCTATAATTTAAGGTTGCATTTGTAATCAGTGATTATGCTGTTATCTGTGGAAATAATACATTTATTATATGTTGAAAACTTTCCGAGTGAGTTCATGCATTCACTTTCAATTTATGATCTTCCTTTATTAAGCATCTATTATGTATCAGGTAATGAAAACTGGGATATATAGTGATAATGAGAGAGTTGTGATGGTGATTATACTTGTAATAGTAGTTGCAAACTTTTATTAAGTACTTACTGTGGGTCAGGCACTATTTTAAGTGCTTTACTCATAGTATTTCACGTAGTGCCTAAAAGATGAATCACTATTCTCAAGAGTCTTCTAAGTGGTAGAAGACAAAGGAGAAAATATAATAAGCATTATGCTGTGGATAAAGGTAGGATGATTTGACTTAAAGTTTGAGTAGACATTAGCAAGGTGAAGAAGGGAGAAAAGGTCTTTCCAAATAGTTGGAGCTACAAACACAGACTCCAAAGTCTTGAAATAATACAATGTTTTCTGGACATGCTGGAGATCAAGAGGCTAGAAATGAGAATAGTAAACAAGGTAGGGGTTACTATTCCACAAAGTTACCATGAAAATTTTTGCCCTCTGTAATTACTGTATTACCAGACTTTTCAAATGGCTTTTGAAAGAGATTCAGAAAAGACCAGTGTAAAATAAATCATCTAACCCCAGAGTTGTTTTTCATAGTTGACAGTGCTGACAACTGTATATAATACTGACTTCTTATGTTATAAAGCATTTTATGGCTGCTAAAACTCCCCAGTAGATAAAGTAGTGGAAATATAGGTGTGTTTTCAAGGTAGTAATGTTGATGGTAGGTTAGGGCAAAGGCAGAATAAATTGCATTTGATAGTGCAATTTGGTAATCACATAAATAGCCCTTTAGTAAAAAAAAACAACAACAACAAACGTTTTTTGAGCACCTGCTGTGTGTCAAGTAGTCTGTTGAGCACTTTACATGGATTTAGTCCATGTAATTTAATCTATGCTATAATTCTAAGGGGTTAATTTTTACTGCGTGTCATGCATTATTAGCGATTTCACTTTACAGATGAGGAAACTGAGGCATGGAGAAGTTTATCAGGGTTTTATCATGAAAAAGAAACCATTCCAGATATTTCAAGCATAATTGTATTGAGTACAGAGAATTAGATGCTTATAAGGCTTTGGAAGAGCTGGAGAAGCTACTGTCACATTGATTTTCATTTGTGCCACTGCATCTGTGGTCCAGAGCATAAGGAAGTTGCTGCTGCTGCTGCTGCCGCCGCCGCCTAGAGACCAACAAAGTTTAGAAAACCATTGGTGATTGTCACAGCTGCCTTATATCACTGAGGCAGGGACTGGCAGGCAAGAGAGCCAAAACCCAAGTAAAAAACTCACAATAATGAGTCTTACTTTCGCTTTCCAAATCGCAGGAAGTGCATCTCATTTGGCGAAACGTAAATAAATCCAGAAGACCCGGGCGAAGGGAATCTGGGAAATGTTCCCAGGATTCCAATCTTGCTTTTGGGAGAGCTAAGAAAGGTATGGGAATGAATGCTTGTATTAGTTTTATATTGTTGCCAAAAACTTACTAGCTTAAAACAACACCTACTGCTTATCTCACAGTTCTCTAAGTCGGAAGTACAGTGGATTCAGCTGGGAACTTTGTTTAGGGTCTCAGAAGGCTGAAGTCAAGGTGTTAGCCAGCCAAGGCACTGGGAAAGAATCTGTTTCCAGGTTCATTTGGGTTGTTGGAAGAATTAATTTCCTTCTCATGGTTTCCATATGGTTCCTTCCATCTTTAAGTTAGCACCCAGGGTTAAGTTCTTAAGCTTTGAATCTCTATGAATTCCCCTTCTGCTGCATCTATAGGACTTGTTTTTTGCCTTTAGGGGTTTATGTAATTACACTGTGTTCACCTGGAAAATCCAGGCTAATCCCTCTATTATAAGGTCAGCTGATTAGTAACCTTAATTACATTTGCAAAGTTCCTTTTGCCATGTAATGAAACACAACCATAAGAGAAATACTAGGGGACAAAGATCAGGGAGGTCTAAATTCTGCCTGCTACAGTCTTCATTGGAGGAAAACAAACAAACCTTCCAACACGAAAGGCTAAAATATTTGCTCAAGATTGTTCATGTTCTTAGCTTTATCAATTTTAATAATAATAATCATATATAAAGTGTCTACTATGTGTCAGGGAATGTACAAGAAGCTGTATCTTTGTTATCCTGTTTTTTAAAAATCAACTAGCAAATTGAGATATTTCATGTAGCATGTTATGAGTATTAATTTAAATAACATAGGTAAGAGTTTAGTGAAGTGCCTGAGATAATTAAGAACTCAATAAATTATTTATTGCTCCTGTTGTAATTCCCTATAGGGAAGATAAAGGAAAAAGGTCAGGGCCCTTCAGATGTTCAGAATCTTGCAGAGCATTTGATGTAAATATGCACATGTGCGCAGGTGTTCCTTGGTTATTGTCTAATGCAATTGCGAATGTGCACCCAGGTATCCTGGGTTATGGACTTAAGTATAAAGGAAGAGTGGCTCTGATCCACAGTGTCCCCTCCCCCTCCCTCCCCCTGCCCCCTGGGATGCCCTGGGCCAGTAGGGGGAGCACAGGGAGGTTGTTGCTGCTGCTGCTGCTGCTGTAAACTGCTGTAAACTGCTGCTAACTGCTGCTGCTGCTCCTGTTGTCTGCCAATGGTTCCCTGAATATTTCCCAATTACCTAGCGTGGACCTGCGTATGAGGGGTCTGGTGACCCAGCCTGGTATGTGAGGGGTCTGTGACCCAGTCTATAACAACGGTTTGAAGGGTTTGTGGGCCCTAGCAATACAAATGGAAATTTAGTATAACTAAAGTAATGAAATCGTTCAGCTTTAGTTATGAATTGCTTTAACAATACAGTTGGCCCCAACCTGACAACTGGAGTAGCTATTATTGTAACCAAAACATTCCCATTTTAGAGATAAAATCACTGTGACTCTGAAAGGTGACCTAACTTGCCCAAGACCATGATCCAAGGGTCCCAGCATGGCTTTGAATACAGATTGTCCCACTTCAAATGTGGAAATAAATGAAAAATATTGCATATGATGAACTTTTTAAACATAATGTCCAGTAAATACCAATTATTATGATGATAAAATAACACACAAGACATTCTATTACCCTAAATAGACATAACATTTCTAAAGGCTGGTTACTTTTTTTTTAAAGATGACCAGTAAGGGGATCTTAACCCTTGACTTGGTGTTGTCACTCTCCAAAGTGAGCTAACCAGACATCCCTATATAGGGATCCGAACCCGTGGCTTTGGTGTTATCAGCACCACACTCTCCCAAGTGAGCCACAGGCTGGCCCTAAAGGCTGGTTACTTTTTTTTTAAAGATGACCAGTAAGGGTATCTTAACCCTTGACTTGGTGTTGTCACTCTCCAAAGTGAGCTAACCAGACATCCCTATATAGGGATCCGAACCCGTGGCTTTGGTGTTATCAGCACCACACTCTCCCAAGTGAGCCACAGGCTGGCCCTAAAGGCTGGTTACTTTTGACTAAATGAAGTCCAAATTCTTTATCTCTATCTGCAACTTAACCTCCCTCTCACACCCTCTCTCTCAGCAATCCTATATACCAGGGTACTTCAAAAAGTTCATGGAAAAATAAAATTTAAAGATAATGTGAATCTTTCCACAAATTTTTTGAGGTACTCTCGTATATCCTTCAATTATATTCAAAACTATTTTCCAAAACAACAACAAAAAGTTATGCAAAGATTAGCATTGTTTTACAGTTTTGCCAATTTTCTTAATGTCTGACTGAATACAGTTAATTTTCATATCTGTTTCTGCATCCAATTTGTTGCAATATAACACATCAATTTTCCAGAAGGAAAAAAAGCTTTTGGAAAATTCCATTGAACACTCTTGACTCAGAGAATGAAAAAAGCAAATAACATTTTTGTATTACAATTATGAAAATAGTATTGACCTTGAAGGCCCCTAGATCCCTGGACCATATTTGGGGAATGGGCTTGGTTTTTGGCTTTGCCTCATTGTTCTTGTAGCCAGAGTGACTAGTACAAGACAGGCAACTCTACCCTCTGTGACCAGCAGGGCTATATCTATCTAGTTGACAGTTATATTTCCTGCACTTCCCACACAGAAAGCACTGGATGACTATCTGCTGAGTGAACGCACTAACCACCAAGAGGGCTATTATCTAGCAGCAAGTTTCATGAAATCTGACACAGCGAAGGGTGACAGGTACCTGGGACAATTTAGGGAACTCAAGAAAAAGTGCTAGGATCACCCTCCTGAATAGCAACATACAAGATTTCGTCAAAAAACTTAATAACCAACTAAATAATATTTTAACAAAATATATTTACAATTCAAATCGGTAAACTACCGATTTGGGGAGGCCCGTTTTTGTCAAATTTTATTAGTAATAATTTCCAAAAAACTAAATCTTCATCTAAAGCTCCATATCAGTCACCAAAAACAAAGGCCTAGTTAGGCACTGGCATCCCGGCGCCTGAGGAGAAGCTCCAGGGGCTGACAGGAAGAAGCGCCAAGGAAGGCGAATTCCAGGCGCCCCTCAGCCGACTGCTACTTTCCCAGGCTGCCTTTTTCCCCCGCCCACCCCATCTGGTCGTCTCTGATTGGCTAGGCTGCCTCACGTTCGCGCTGCCATTAGTCCGGAGTCATTTGGGGGTGGACGGAGAGAGAACTAAGCCAGCCAGTCCTGGCGGGATCCTCATTGTGCGCGGTGGTTGCGGTGAGGAGAGGTTTTGAGGAGGGCAGCGGCTCGAGAGGCGCCGCTCTAGGTACGTTAGGCCGGGCGAGAGCCGCGCGCGAGTGGCGGTTGGCGGGGCGGCCTCTTGGCAAGCGGCGGGCGAGCTCGGTGTTTGCGGCGGGGCTGATTGAGAGACGTCCGCTGAGGCGCCGGGGCTCGGACCTGGCCGAGAAGAGAAGACCCCCGCGGGGAGGCGGAAGGATGCGTCTACACCGCTTTCGGAGCGGGATGTGGTCGAAGTGGGAGTGGTGTGTGGCGCCGGGTTGAGGAGGCCCCGCGTAGGGGGTCGGGGCTGCGGAGGGAAGTGGCCTCGGTGTTTTTTCCTGACGAGTGAGTAAAAGCTTTGGTCTTGATTGAAACGTTTTAACAAGTTAATGGATAGATATTAGCCACACTACCTAGTTTGTATCCCGTTGCCACGTTCCCTGTAGTCGTTTTAGTCATCTTTATCTGAAGAAACTAGGTGCCAGAAGAGGTAACTGGATGTCGCCTAGTGGCTTTGATATGTGTTGTTGTGAAGTAGGCGATAGGACATCAAGGTTAATATAAAATTCTGAGCGATATGTTAAAATGCCTTCTTTTTAAGGAAGGAACCGGGAGGGCAAGCCATTTATGTACCTCTGTTGAGCTTATCAATATAGGGATTCAATGATTTAATGACGAAAACCATTTTTTTCCTTTTGGTATTCATAAAAATACCTAAAGAAAAAAGAAAAGAAAGAAACTATTCCCTTATCGCACCTCCCCCACCTACTTTCTCCAGTTTGGCAGCAAGTTCAAGAATGTGCCTAAACAGAGGAAACAATTATTTGGCTTTGTTTCTCTGCTTAAAACCCTGCTTTACTTAGAAAACTGAACTTATACCTTTCCATGTTACTGTGTTGAAGTTTAACGTTATAAACCAATACGTTGCTTGCTTTGTGACATGAAAGCTTTTTACATTCTGAAGATTTGTATGGTTAAGATCTAGAAAAAGACAGTTGTACTGAGTATTCACATTGGAAAAATGTCATATCCATTTAAAGACTATTATTCTAGATTAAGACTTAATAGTATTTTCATTGTGATTTTGTCATATTTACTTGTAGCCAGTAAATGTCCCACGACATAACTATTTGCAAAACAAATGAGGGAAGAACATTTAAGATAAAGATAATTTATATCACAGGAAAGCTATTGAAAATGCAAAAAGGAGGCATCTAAATGAAGGACTAATTGCGGAATTCCGGCTTTCTTGAAGTATGCCTTTATTCTTAGCTTGTTTATCTCTAAACTCGTTTTTAGTAATGTTGAATCTGACCTTAATCAAATAAGCTACTTAACTCTCAGTCTTATCTGCAGATATGTACAAAACCCATCCTAAGATTGGCTTCTGCCTCAACAGAAATGCATGTTATATTGGGTGTGTACAGATGTATTTCATTTGATGTAATCAAGTCTGAAGTAATATATTGGATAATGCTTAAGAATAAAAACCTCTATAACTTTAAATGCATAAGAGTATTAGTTCTCATTAAGTTGAGTGATATAATACAAAATACAAAGAACTTTATTCTTCTGTCTCATTCTGTCTCATATTCTTATATCATTTAGATACTTATTCTGCTATTTGAGGCTTAATAAAACCTGGACCCATACTTTAAAAACACATTACAGTAGACTCAGGTAACTTTTTATTCTTCTTCATCTTTACCAATTCAGGTAGGACAGATTGTACTCAGGCAATATCTAGACAGAAATAACCATGACTTTCTGGAGGGAGGGGAAATAATTAGATATAATTTGAATTTTTGAACTCCTAATTAAGCTTTTAGAGCTATAAGAGATATTTACGTAGGTCTTAACTAAAAGTTAATCACTAATTACATAGAGACAGTTATATGTATCTACTAAATGTGGTAATTTCCGTTATATACCTCTGAGGTTCTATTGTGTATAGTGCTGCTGGTGTGAGATAGGGTATAAGAAAGCTATGGCAACTGCTGAGTCCTGTTTTGGTACTCTTTATTAAGCAGACCGTAACTTTGGGTGGCTTTCCAGAGGTTTATTTTTATAAGTGAGTATTCGTTAAATAGCATTTCTTAAAACTTTTATGTGAAAGGCATCTCACTGAAGATATATAAATAAATACCACACATCTCTGCCCTCAAAGCTTATAATTAAAAATAGATACTTGTAATGGAAATTCAAACAAGGAAGTAGTTCTCTTGGGAGAAAGTTTTTTTGGAAAGGTAATCTTCAAACTTGACCTTGAAGGAGGGTAGACTAGGGAGGAATGTTGGTATATGACAGTTCTGATCAATTTGGGAAAAAAATGAAGGTTAGTTTTATAGGAAGATGCTGTAGATTTGATGACCCCCCTGCTTAATCCACACTGTAACTTGAGGGTGGGATTCAGGTAATTGAAAAGTGGGGCCTTGAAGAGGTGATTAGATTGGTAGGACCATACTGTAGTGAATGGATTAATAATGGTTGTCCAGAGGGCTTTACAAGGATAGCACATGAGGAGGTTAGTCTCTCTCTGCTCTGCCATTTTGCAATATGATATCCTGCTGTCACTGTTGCCACCACCAAGGCCCTCACCATGAATGTTCCCTGGACTTTGGACTTTCCAGCCTCCTAAAGGTCAGTGAAAGAAAGCCAAGATGCTGGGTACTGTTCAAGCTTTATTAAAGAAAGAAATCTGCCAGGCTGTACTCAAAATGGAGGACGGCCCGGGGCTGCCCTGAAAATGGGGGACAGCACCAGGTGTGGGGGTGGTAGAGCTTATATAGTGCGCCAAGGGCTGGCTGATACCACCAAGGAGAGTCATGCTAATGTGGATTGGGGTAGAGAACTGTGTCCTTGCAGAAGCAAAAGGTTTCTCGTAAAGGGAAGCAGGGAGGGGCTTGGTGCTGGAGTGGAAGACAAGGCCGGCAGCTATTTTGTGCTCATTGTGTGCACAGTGGTGCCGGGTCACATCCAAAATCCATCAGTTAGGCTGATAGCTTCAGGAAAAACAAAATAGTGTATAAGAAGGATAATGATACTCAGGCTATACAGAGAATATTTACCTATTAACAACTTACATATTGAAATGTGATGAGCCATAAAAAGGTGAATGGGGTGTAGAAAGAGCTAAATCTTTATCTGTAATTATAGGAAATTGACAGATATGGCTAAAAATTAACAGGAGAAATACTAGTGTGAACATATTTTAAAATACTGAGATTTTTTTTAAAATTGTTAAAATTAAAGTGATTGGTATTAGGCCATTAAGGAGTGCCAGCAAGCAACTCTTATATTTCATTACAAGCATTCTATACTGTTACATTGATAAAACTTTAAAAGTAAAGGCAAGATTCTGCTTAGCACTCAGTAGATGCTAATACTGCTTGGTTGTGGACTACACTTAATAAAGTAAAGATTAGTGCATGCTCATTATGAGATGAACTGTCTCCTGGCACAGGTAGTCCCTAAAAGAGTTTTTGTTGACCATCATATACCTGTTAAAGGCAGTCCTGTCTTTTCATAATGCTTTATTTGATTTGCACTTATGAAAAGAGATTTCTTTGAGTCTTAAGACCCTGGGTTCAAATACTGGCTCTGAACTATGTGACACTGAACAAGAGTAAAGACAAAGGTTCAGTTTGGTAGATTTAAAATAAATTTTAAGAGAATTGCCCTTTATTTAATGTTTATAATGAATTAAGATACTGTCTTGGCAAGAAGCATTATTAGAGATACAGATGTTTTATAATGGGGAAACCCAATCAACCAGGAATAGAGGGAAAAGAAACAATCAATATGCACACATAGCTTCATACTATATAAAGGAAAAAAGACAATGACTACATGAAAAGAAGTAGACCATCAACCATCATAGTGTTTCACTCTTAATACTCATGATTTAATAGCTGCAAGATTGTGACTAGTACAATTAAAAATGTTGACTTAGTTGAAATGTGTCTGTCTGTGTGAGGGTAATTCAGAAAGTTTGTGGGAAAATAGAGTTGAAAGATAATACAAATCTTTCCATGAAGTTTTTGAAGTATGGCCATGTGTATGTGTGTGTATGTATGTATGTATGAGTTCTCTTCAAGTACACATGCAGCTTTTACAAAAATTGAACATGAAGCTAGCGTCAACAAATATCACAGAGTGAAATCATTCAGAGATTATTCTCTGATCATAGAGGAGTTAAGCTAACTATCAACACCAAAAATATAACTATGAAATTTGCAGTTGCTTGGAAATTAATCAAAATATTTCTAAATTCACAGATCAAAGAAATTATAATGCAAATTAGAAAATATTTTGAACTGAATGGTAATTAAGATAGGATTTATCAAAATTTATGGGCTACAGTAAAGCAGCACTTAGAGGAAAATTTATAGCTTTAAATGTAAAGTTCTAAAAAAAGGGACTGAAAATTAAAGACCTGAGTTTCCATCTCAATCTTGAATAAGAACAGAGAATCAGACCCAAAGAAAGTGGAGGGAAATAACTATAATATCAGCAGGAAATGATGAAATAGAACACTATGTAGACTAGCAAGCCAACAAAGCTAAAAGTAAGTGCTTTGAAAATATTTATAAAATTGATGTTATTAATAAAAATAATTAAGAAAAAAGAAAAACATCCCCAGTATCAAGAATAAAAAGAGAGACAGTACTACAGATATTACAAATATAATTAGAGAATGTTACAAAGAACATATGTTGATATATTTGAAATTGTGTTGAAATGGAAAAACAACTAAAATTTAAAATATAAAGAAAATATTAATGGTTCCATACCTATTTTAAAAATTTAATTGAATTGGAAACCTTTACCACTAAGTTAACTTCACACCGAGATGCCATTAGTGGTGAATTATCCTAACATCCATTCACACACTAACTGTTCAGAGAATAGAAAAAGAAAGACTTTCTGGTTGTGTTTTATGAGGCCAGCATACCTTTGCTATCAAAAACTAGTAAAGAAAAATAGCTGATCCATCTGTGTCATTAACAGTCATATAAAATTCCTAAATAAAGTATTAGCAAATTGAACCTAAAACACTAAAAAAATAAAAAAGATATATTATGACCAAGTGAGGTTTAATTTAGGAAAAAGCTAGGTTTAATATTTTAAAATACCAATATACAGTTATGCACCACATAATGATGTTTCCACAGACTGTGTATGCAGTGATGGTCCCGTAAGATTATAACAGAGCTGAAAAATTCCTACAGCCAAGTGACTTTGTAGCCATCATAATGTCATAGCACAATACATTACTCAGGTGTTTGTGGTAAGGCTGGTATAAAAAAAATACCACAAATTATGTTGAGGAAGCATGCCTAGCTTACCCACAGGGTGACCCTCCCAAAGCTCTGACCTTTAAGATAGAAAAACAAGCATTTAGCACATTAGGTCTTACCCCAAGTGAAAGAGTTGTCTACTTCAGACATCCCCATAGCAAAATAATAATTAATAACAGTTAGCTAACACTCACTGCTTGCTTGCTTAGTGCCAGGCACAATCCCTACCTTTATTTCAGTTTTCCTAACTTTGTGGGGGTGGTATTCTAATCTCCATGTAGCACATGTAGAAAGTAAAGCAGAGAAACTTAGTAATGTAATTAGGGGGCCCATGCTCATGCAACTAGAAGGCATTGTAGATAACAGGAAAATGTATTGCTGTTCCCTTTCATAATACACTTATGCACAGTGACAAAATTGCCTAATGATGCATTTCTTAAAACTTATCCCTATCATTAAGTGATACATGACTAATACAAATTAACAGAAAAAATAAGATTTTGTCATTATCTTAGTAGATATGAAAAGGCATTTGATAAAATTGGACATGCATTCATGATAAATTCTGTGTGTACTTTTTTTTTTTTTAGTTTTTTTTTTTTATTTTGGTGCTGGCTGGTACAGGGATTGAACCCTGGACCTTGGTGTTATTGGCACCATACTCTAACTCATGATAAATTCTTAGTTGGCTAGGAATAGAGTAATTCATTAATACAGAGAATCAACAAAAAAACTATAGCAAATGTTATATCTAATGGTGAAGTAGTGAAACCCCATATCCCATCTGTGGTGAGCAATGAGAAGGATGCCCACTAATACCATATCTTCTCATATTGGAAGCTTTAATGTGATAAGAAAAGAAAAGTAAATAAATGTAAGAAGAATTTGCAAGAAAAAAAATCATGACATGATTGTCTACATAGAAAGTCCAAAAGAATCTATAATTTATTAGACTTAATAAGTAAATTTAATGAATTATTTGGAGATATAATCAATAAAAAAGCATTGATTATATTTCTAAATAGTTGACAGAAAAGTGAAGTTTTAAAAGGAAAACATATACAAAGTATTAAGAAGTCTAGTATTTAGGGCAGTAAAGGAATGAAACAAAAGACACAAGACATATAAAACGAAAAGTAAAATGGCAGACATAAATCCAACGATAGGCAGTCCCCAACATATGATGGTTTGATTTACAATTTTTTGACTTAATGATGGTGCAGAAGAGAAGCGTAATTAGTAGAACATTGATAAATTACATGAGATATTCAACACTTTATTATAAAATGGGCTTTGTGTAAAAGATGATTTTTTTTCCAACTCTATGATAATGTAAGTATTATGAGCACATTTAAGGTAGGCTAGACTGAGCCATTATGT